CACTGTGACATCATACATCAGTTTCTGTGAGGACATGTGTGTGCCAATAAAACCTTCTGTACGTATAACAACAATAAACCATGGTTCACTGCAAGACTCAGGCAAAGAGTTCGGGCTAAAGAGGAGGCCTACAGAAGTGGGGACAGGATTCTGTACAACCAGGCCAGGAACACACTGACGAGGGAGATCAGGGTAGCTAAGAGAAGCTACACTGAAAAGCTGGAAAAAATGTTTTTAGCCAACGACCCCTCGTCAGAGTGGAGTGGCCTGGAAGTACTTACGAACTACATGAGACACACCCCCCCCCCCCCAAAGACAATGATGGTGCACTTCTACACAGCCATCATTGAGTCCATCCTCTGCTCCTCCATCACGGTCTGGTACGCTGCAGCCACGGACAAGGACAAGGACAGACTGCAGCGCATCATTCGCTCTGCTGAGAGGGTGATTGGCTGCAATCTGCCGTCCCTCCAGGACTTGTTCGCGTCAAGCACCCTGAAAGATTGTAGCCGACCCTTCTCACCCTGGACATGAACTGTCCGTACCCCTTCCATCTGGCAGTAGGCTGAGGTCCATCAGGACCAAGACCTCACACCACATGAACAGTATCTTCCCGTCCGCATTCGGGCTCATTAACAGAGCCCGGGTCCCCCACTGACTCCGTCATCCCCAGGACAATTTCCTTCTGGTCACTCCCCTTCTGTTTCTTTATTTAAACACATACTTGTTTACATTACAGTCATTTAGCAGATGCTTTTATCCAAAGCGACTAACAATTCAGATTCTATCACACCGTAGGCACAGCTACAGGAGCAATGTTTGGGGTTAAGTGTCTTGCTCAAGGACACATCGAGATGCAACTAGCAAACCGCCAATCCTCTGATTGAAGGACGGCCCTGCTCTCCACTTAGCCACGGTTCCCGTTTATAGTCCTGTGCACCTTATGTTATATTTTATATTCTTTTATCTTCTATTGAAAACTGAATGTTTCTGTTTGTTGCACTGCGTGGATTGTTGATTGTCTAATGTCATGCACCACCCGCCATGACAAATCCCTTGTATCTGCAACATACATTGGCAATAAACGGTTCTGATTCTGATTATATGGTGTAAGTGGTGTTTCGCCTTTAAATGAAAATATGAGTCTGTGAGTTTGCAAGACATTTAACACAGACACACACAAAATTGTGTTTTCTCCATCAGTGCATGCATCACAGGGGTAATCTGCAAGTCTGCACACGGATCTGATATCACTTCACATTGATTACACAGGAGCAACGATCCGTACATCCTGTGTGATCACTAGTGCTCACCTGCTACTCTCAACAGAGATGAGGTAGAAGCTACTCCCATCATCAGCTCTGCAAAAAAACAATCACTGCCTCCAAAAACATCTCTGCTGGGAGAGCACCGTCAGAGGGTGAAGCTGTTGATGCTGAAGATGAGCAGGCCTGTGAGGGACAGGATGTGAACAGGGCTTCTTCAGTTGAGAGGAAAAAAAACACATCTGTAGACCACTTCTTTGGTTTGTAAGATGCATCCGCTGCACACAGGAGGACCATGAGCAGCTTTACACAGTCAGTGTAACCAGAAGTATCAGTAGAACAAACCTGACCGAGCCCAACCTTATGGACTCAACTTGGTTTGTTTTGAAGGAATACCAGAATATATGACCATTTGTATGTCAGCTCACCTTTAATTCTCTCTCCCTCACACCTTTCCATTTAAACCCTTTGGAATGCTTTAAACAGGTTTTGGTGCGGCTGCATGCGTTTGTGAAGTATGATCACAGGGAATGGAGAACTGAGACTTGGATTATTCTGCATGAGTTGTGTGAGAGGTTGCAGACAGACATTCTCAAATCATTTTTGCAGTCGTTAAACCCACATTTCCTTCAAGTGATCAGGACTTGGTTTTTAGGTTCTTCGTTCTCCATGGAGACATGAGAGAAAACCCACGGTAACCGTGTGAGTCAGTGACGTACCAAGGATCCTTTTAGGGGGTGAAGCGTTCCTCTCACAAGGAATAGAAGTGTGAAACACCAAATGTGGTGAGTAGACCCCGCTCTCTCTAGCAGTCACCGCTGAGAGCGCGTTGACCTCTGAATCCCACACATCAGTCACAGCAAGTCACTGTTTGGAGTTATCTTTATTAAGTAAACTCTACACAAAGTATTGCTTTTATTTTTTATTATTCTTTTCACTCTAAATTAGAACCTTTTGCAATCAGCACATATAGAACTTTTCAAACAAGCTACACTTTTTGAGGAATACAAAAATATCACAGTACATTTTCTACTAAGTCGCCTTCACCTGTGAGGACCAGAGCCAATCAGAGCGTCGGGATCACACCCACAGCAGCTGCCTGGACAGAGATGGACCGTCAACACATCTTTAAGTAACAGCACCGGGTCTACGAGCTAACCACACACTCAAACACCCCAGGTCTAGGGGACCGTTTGGACTCAGTGAAGCAGGGCTTTCCAGAACCGACCCACAGCCGAGTCTCACTTCAGGGGAGGACCACAGAGTCTGCAGAGGGGACAGACTCCCAGAGACAAGGGAGTGCCACTCAGTGAATATTGGGACAAATTCAAGCAGGTGCTAATGTTAGCTGCCCCGGATAAACTAGCGCATATTCAGTTTGGAAGTGTGAACTTTGAAGAGGATTTGAGAGTTCTGTATGGGACCGTCTTATCCGGTGTGTGACAGTCCCAGATGCTTCAGAGGACACGTACAGACAGACTACTTAGATCTCAACCATCTTTCCTCGCTAGTAAAACCAAAGTTACCAATTAGCACAAACCTCATCTTTGTGCAACTTGTTCAAGTTTGTTTGAGGCCAGAATGGTGTCATGGCTGCCCCGCCTCACCGACGGGGGACCAAACACCCAGTGGTGGTTGAAGCTGGGATTCATGTTTGGTTGAACCAGAATGAGGTGAAGAGGACACTGCACCCAGTCAAGCTAAACAAAGATAAGAACAAAGTATGTTTCATCAGCTATGTTTTGGTTTGAGAAGGAGAACCTAAAAAGACAGTTTGGCAACTGTACACCTGTGAAGAGCAACACACAGCGGCTCCCTGCACCTGTCAGTGGGAAGCATCTGGGTCTGTCTATGCATCTGAACTAGGCAGTGATTAGAAGGGCTGGGTATGGAATCACAATAGTTCTGGGTGTTTGTATTACTGAGAATCAAATGCTGCTGGCGCTGAACTCTTGGTTTCTTGTCACATGAACACGTTCTGTGCTCCCTTGATGGAAATACTTTTTTGACTGTATTGTATTGTATTGTAGCTGACATTCTGCTCAGTTGTGTTGAGACAGTTTGCAGAAATGTTTTGGAGAAAAACTGATTTATAAAAAGAAACAGTGATGTGGCCTATAGGGGATCCAACAACCTCCCCCGAAACAATCAATATATTTGAATGGATACCCAGCCCTACTGACAAGTCAAAGGACTGCTGGACGACGAGTGAGGCCCTGCTGTGGTGAGGCCCTGCTGACTGAGTGAGGCCCTGCTGACTGAGTGAGGCCCTGCTGGCCCTGCCTCTGGTTTGGGTCTGGAGCTGTTCTCATGTCTCTCCTCAGGCAGGCTGAAATGTTAACATGGATCCCACACAATAACAACAGCACCTTTAACATTCTCCCTCTCTTCCCGCTCCTCTCGACATACATGTCATATTCTATACAAAGTATCAAAAGATTAAACAAAATACTAAAAAATCCTCACCCGTACTCACAATAGAATTTTGTATTGAACTTTTAAACTTTTCTCCCCCCCTTGCAAATCTTCCTTTTCCTCCCACACTGCAAAGATTCAGATCCACAGTGACACGCGTTTGGTGAAGGAGGCCTACCACTCTGGACAGGAATGTTGCAGCATGAAAATGACCCAAACACGGCAGCTTCATTCGGAACAAAACCAAAAGAAAATACTTGAGGATGGAGGGTGAGGGTTCCCCGTCAATGTCTTCAGTTTAGGGGAATGGAAGAGACGAGTAAGATGAAGAAAGGAAGGAGTACACTTTAATTTCCACAGTTACACAAACATGAACCATGATAAAACGGGAAGGGAGGAGTCAGTGACCCCGGCTCCTCCTCTGAGCTCTGTGTGGACCAACACACATAACAAGTCTCTGTGTGTTGGGGGGGGGGGTCACGGGAGCTGATTGTACTGCCTGTGTGCTGTGTTTGTTTAAGTCCACATAGTGAAGAGCGGGGTCCCCAACAGAACCAGACGGCGTGGATGTGGCCCGCTTGGTGCAGTGGCAGTAGCAATGCTGGAGGCTGGATGGGGCTCCTCGGCCGGGCCCAGCACACTCCCCCCGTGAGCGTGCTGCTCAGGGGGAGAAGGTAGCCATCTCCAGGGAGATGCGCTGCCACAGCTCCTTGGTCTGCTTGCCTCTCTTCAGGTTCTGCAGCACGTCGTTAAACTGCATCATACCCACGGGCGTCAGGCAGAAAGCGCTGCGAGCGCTGCGGATGATGTTGACAAAGTCGTCATAGTCGGCGGGCGTCAGGTGGATGAGCCGGTGGTGGATGTACTGCAGAGAGAGAGGGGGGGGGGGGGGGGGGAGAGAGCAGTGTGACTCTACAGGCAGCACTGCATGAGTCATAAAGGTGGATTATACAATCCAAACATGGTAACTCTCTCGTTCTAATGAGAGCTGTGTGTGAGTGAATGTAAAGAAACGTTTGATGAATAAACCAGCTGAGTAATATTCCATGTGTTTATGGTTTTATCTTCAATCCCTAATGTTTCTGTGTAAATGTATATATGCCAAGCTGAACACATTGGCCGTCCTCTTTGTTTACCTTATTTTATTGTTTATGCCTCCGACTTCCACTGGTAACGATATTCACGTCACAACGCTATGAATTGTGGGTAATCCCTTCAAGCAAAGTCTGCAGAAATGCGTACTTATGGAAAGTGTTCATAAGAGTCCTCAAACGCTCGAGGATTTAAAAGTGGAGCACGCCTCAAAGTCTGAGTGTTGGGATCGGGCCCCTGGTTGGCTTACCTGATAATAACTGTTGGAGGACTTCTTAGTGGGATCACGGCTGCAGTGTTCCCCATTAATGACAGACTGTGGCGGCCACAGTTTGGTAATGAACTGAACATATTGTTACACTTGTCTACAGTTGGGCTGGCTGTGCCCTCTCTCCCTGAGGGGGCGGAGTCTGTCTGTGGCCATGAAACCACCTGACCCATGAAACACATTCATATCTAAACATCCAATGTGTTTATGATTGAACTATTTATGAGAGCACGGTGTAAAAATACTACGTTACAAGTACAAAAGTATATACAAAAGTAAAGGTATACTCATTATGCAGAATGGCCCATTACAGAGTAATCTATATATTTAGATAGATATTAGTGCTGGGCAACGATTAAAATATTTAATCGCGATTAATCGCATGGATTTTTTGCATTAATCGCATTGTTATGGTAAAGTTAAACAATGAATTCAAAAGTAGTGTATTGTGCACTTTTATTTTAAAAGTACTGCTATATGAACTAAAGTGCAATAACATTTGGTTCACGAGATGCAGGTAGCATGTTTTATACTTAATGTGAATATAATTCATACTTTGTTGGCATCTTATTCTGAAAACCGGATGTTCGTCTGAAGAAACCGGATGTTGTCTCACGTTAATCTTTCCGCTAACTTTCAAAGTCCTTCGCTCGCTCCCGATCTGTGCCGTTTGAATGCGTTTACTGTGAATTTCAGCATATAGGTGCACTAAAATTACTGACTATAGGATGTTTGCTGGCTTTTATCCCACTGTTCTTGTCATCCTCTTGTTGTTATGTCTATGTATTGTCTCTTGTCTTTCAATTAAAAATTAATTTGATATATAGATAGATAGATAGATTGATAGATAGATAGATAGATCATTGTATTATAATTATTGATGCATTAATGTTGCAGATGGTAAAGGTGGAGCAGATTCTAAATGTAATATAATTCATAATCAGGCTATAAACTACTTAATAATATGTCATAGTTTATGAGTTGATTCCTATTTCAGAATCAGAATCTGTAAAGTAACTAACTAGTAACTAATACTGTTAAATAAATGTAGTGAAGTGAAGTACTGAAAAAGAACTGAAACACTCACGTAAAGTACAAGTACCTCAAACTTGTACTTAAGTACAGTACTTGAGTAAATGTACTTAGTTACATTCTACCACTGCTAGAAGAAGAGCATAAAGGTCTTCATAGATCCAGCCTCTTAACTGGAAGTCTAATGTACTCCGTTTAGTTGTGCAGCAGGTGAAGAATAAACATGGAAGAGTCCGTCTGTTCTTAAAGGCTCTGGTTAGGCTGTCCACTCTCTTTAAAGAACAGCGTCTGGGTCTGGACTCGGCCCCCGGCCCACCTACTAGTGACCCTGGTCTTAAAGTCTTAACCAACAACGTTCAGGGAGCTGATGATGGAGCTAATGAGTGAGCCATCCTGCTTCCTTCTCAAACCCCCCCCCCCCCCCGAGGCCACTTTCCTTCAATGAGAAATTTGATTTTGGTTATATATTTTGCGAGCTCTCTTTCTGCATTTGACAGTTTAAGACTACCTTGAATATCATAGTTTGCTCTTCATTTGTAAAACATGTCTACTTGTCCTCCCCCTTTAAGAGAGCAGCTCTGGGCTTCAGCCTACCTGCAGGTAGGCCTGTTGGCAGCGCTGGACGAGCTGGTGGAAAGCAGGTGTTCTGAGGTGGGCGTGGATGTGGGCGGGGTTCAGCCTCTGCAGAGCCTCCATTATGATCTCCTGCAGGACGAACGGACTCAGGACACCCTTTGCTGCTCCGACACAGAACTGATACACGTAGTTGACTCCTGGCAGATGGGCAGAGGGAAGAAGGAGAGAGAAGAGGATTGGATATGTAGATGGGGTGTTACGTATGGTTCTGTGTCCTGCTGTGAATGTTTGTGCTTGGGTGTGTGTGTGTGTATTCTGTGTCTTTTGACTTCTAGGTGCAGCTCCCTAACGAGTGATTGAGGGCACCTGGATGAGGATGTGGTTTACCTATATAAGCACCTCCTTGCTCCGCCCTCGCTCTCTCTCATCTGCCTGGCACCAGACCCTGGTCTGCAGTGGGATCTGCACACTACAGTTTACTTGTGTCCTGTAAATAAACTGGCAGCTGTGGTTGTTTTTAACCTAACTTGGTGTTGAGTCCCTCCTATATGTTGCGACTCCCGAGCCGGTCGTAACAGGGGGGAAAAGAGGAAGTGGCCGATTAGGAAGAGGAGGCCGTTTCTAAAGTCTATTTTGTGTCCGTCAATTCAAATTTGTACTGCATTTAGGGCAATATTCTAAAGGCTCACGTACATAGACTCAGTGTGTGCCAATGCACTCTTTCAGCTTGTAAACCATGACGATGTGCGTAGGAGTGCCCACACAGTTTGACAACAACAGTACGGTGGAGTTCTGTTGTTGGACTCGTCCGGGGCTCGTCCGAAGCTCAGTTAGGCTTAGGTAATGTTTTACTCCTAGACTTAGTTAGTAGGTTCAGGCTGATGTCACCACTTAAGGTAGAGTTTTTAGTTTTTCTCTTTTTGAGCTTGCCTGGTTAAGAAAGCCTGCGGGTGTTGGAGAGACCAGCACCACTTTATTGTTTTTGGTGCGGTAACCCTGGGGTGGCCCCTGGTGGCCTGGGAAAGCCGACGAAGACTAGTTGAGGTTTAGCCAGATAGAACTACAGTTTCTTAGGTAGAGAGGAAACCAGGTAAGTTCAAGAATAGGTCAGTTTGAAATGTTCATTCCTCAGGATAGTATGTGGTGGCATTTGCTGGCCTTTGTTCTTCACACATGCTATACGCTGTGTGAGTAGTAAGAGTGGAGAAATATTGTTGTGCACACTAGTTTTGGTTAAATGATAGGCTGTAGTTTTGTTCTTCTTTGAACTCTGGCTGGCTTAGTAAGCCTGTGCGCATGCTTTCCTATTATCTGTGTGAGCTTCGTGTTCAGGTAGCCGCATGCTTCTTGCAGGGACTACATGTTGTGGAACCTACTTTCTTCTCAGTGGAGGTAGAAAAGTAGCGTTTAGAATTTCAGTGTATCGTAGGGGGAAGAGTACTATTAACACTATTTCTATACTGTGTGGCCTGGAATAGTTCAGTAGCTGC